CAGAGCGGGGAGCAGAACAGGCAGACTGACTGAAATACACTGCTGAGGGGAGCAGCGGGCGAGGTAGGAGGGGTCTGCCTTGCCATGTGGGTGGCTCCCTGGTTGGCTGGGGATCAAACTCATGCTGCAGAGGCTGCAGAATGCTTCATAGTGTGGAGCTTAACCCCTTGCGCCACCAGGGAGGCCTGCTTTGTGTCCATTTTTGAGATTGGGACTTTCAGTTTTTCTATTTCATGAAGTCTGTCGTATTTGTTTCGTATATATGGGGTCTGTGATGTTAGGTGGACAGATACTTGTAATTTCATTATCTCCTGCTGTATTATCCCATATAGTCATTGCTTTCTCTGACAAGTTTTGACATTCAGTGCAATTTATTACCTATTAGTGAGGGTGCTCTTGGTCTCCTGTGATTGTCTGTTCATTGACTGCCATTTTCTGTTTTCCCGCTGAACCCTTAGATCTAAATGTTAAGAATGTGTGAGACTCCTTAGTCAAATGTGGTATCCAAGTAGACATAAGGTAATTATTCTGGAGGCAAATTTGATAAATGTAAAACATTGCAGTACAAACTTCACTTGTTCCTCAGGTATTACTGAACAGCAGAGAAGCCATGAAGAAGAGAAACTTCACACATGTGAAAAATGTGACAGAGCCTTTAAGTTTTCTTCAAGATTGAAACAACATCACATGATTCATTCTGAGGAGAAACCTTACAAATGTACAGAATGTGGCAAAGCCTTTAACATTTGCCCAACCTTGAAGCGACATCAGCGAGTCCATAATGGAGAGACACTTTACAGATGTAAAGACTGTGGCAAAACCTTCAGGTCGTTGGTAAGTCTGAAGCAACATCAGCAGGATCATGCTGGAGAGAAACCTTACCCATGTAAAGAGTGTGGTAAAACTTTTCAGACGAACTCAAATCTGAAGGGACAGGAGAGAATCCATTCTGGAGAGAAGACTCAGAGATGCAGGGAGTGTGACAAAGCCTTCATGTGCTCCTCAGACCTGAGGCGGCATCAGATGCTTCACTCTGCGGAGACACCTTGCACATGGAAAGACTGTGACAAAAACTGTGTTTCCCAGCCCTGAAGCACCATCAGGGAATCCATGATACAGAGAAGCCTTACAGGTGGAAAGAGTGTGGGAAAAGCTTTACCCTGTGCTCCACCCCGAAGGAATAGCAGAGAATCCACACTGGAGAGAAGCCTTACAGATGCGGTGAATGTGACAAAGCCTCATGTGCTCCTCAGACCTGAGGAGACATCATCGGATTCACTCTGGGGAGAAACCATACGAATGTGAACAATGTGACAGATAACTTTTGCTGTTTATCAGCCCTCAGCAAACATCAGAGAATCCGTAATACAGAGAAACCTACGGGTGTAAAGTGTGGGAAAACCTTTACCCGGTGCTTCACCCTGAAGGAACATCAGAGAATGCACCCTGGAGAGAAGCCCTACAGATGTGAAGACTGTGGCAAGGCTTTTAGCGATTTCTTAGGCCTGCAGCAACATCAGAGATTCCACAGCGGAGAGGAATTTTACAAATGTAAGGAATGTGGCCAAGCTTCAAAATGGAAATCTTGCCTCACTCAGCATCAGAAGATTCATTCTGGGGAGAAACCTTGCAAATGTCAGGAATGTAGAAAGGCTTTCTCGGGTTCAGGCTGGAAGCACTGTCAGGAATCCTTCTGGAGAGCCAGACTTGCTAGGAACTGGCAAAACATTTAAACGGTGATCATGTCTCACCCCACATCAGAAAACACATAGTACAGGGAAACATTACTCATGTGAAGATTGTGACAAGACCTCTTGCTTGTGCCCGGATCTTACTCAACATGAGGAAATTCATGCAAGTGAGAGAAGACAGCAAGGTGCTCGTATTTGAGAGCAGAGAGATGCCATGGCCCGTCCAGCAAATGTTATTGCACATGAGAACGTTCATGCTGCAGGGAAAAGGTAGACATTTGATGAATGTGGAAAGACTGTAATCTATTGCTTACAGCCTAAGAATCTTCATATTAGATGATACTTAATGATTTTGTGAGAAAATAGTTAAAAATCTGGTCTAAATCCTCATAGCAGGAATCTAGAAAACCTAAGTGAGGGACCAGGAAAAAGAATAACTATAATAAAGAAAAAATCAAACTCAACAAGCAGCTGTAAACCAGAGACACACTATGGGTGGGGGAGCTGGGGAGAGGAGGGATTGGGGTCAAAATAAGGGGGGTGCAATTGAAGGGGAATATAAAAAAATCTTAAAGATCTACATAAAAAAAAACTAACATTTATTCAGGTGTAATTAGAATTTAGTGTTCATGAGAAAATATTCTAAGTGCAAAAAATCATATCACTGATTTGTTCCTAAGTTGCCATTAGCAACGTTAGAATTCAGAGGAGAATGTGTGTGTCCTGAACTGCCACACGGCCAGTGAGTTCCCGCTCTCTGGATGGCAGCCTCGTTCTTTAAACTGCAGAAGCCAAACGCTCGGAAAGATCAGTCAGCGGAGCAGGGACGCTCTGGAGGGACTCATCTGGGGCTGGGAGCACGTGCAGGCTGGCGCCGGTGAGGCTGCGTGTGTGTTCTGAGGTGCATTCTTGGTCATGACAGTGAGACAGAGCGCGGTCACATGAGTCTGGACGCTTGGCCGTGCAGCATGACCGCTAGGACGGCCTGGCCTGCAGGCCCATCACTGACCAACACGCCTGAGGGGTGTGCGATTGCCTTGGATTTCGAAATGTTTTATTTAGTCTCTGTGTGAACTAAGACGCGCTTCACTTAGCGGAGCCGACTGGTTCTCAGTGTGTTGTCACTGATGGGCGGTGAGTGAGTGTGATGGTCACCCTGCTCTCCGCCTCTGCTTTGTGCTTTGGTAACTCCAGGTTTTCATTTAATCTGCCCTGGATTTATTTTTATGTGAAACGCCGTTGCCGTCCTCAGAACACATGGTAATGACGTGCTGCTGGGAGGCAGAGAAGAAAATTGTCTCCAACAGACCCTTTTCCTTTAGCCTTAAAGCAAAAATTATCATTTTTGTTTGATACTTATGTACAATTTCTTAGCAGAGATTATGTTTTGGAATATTTTATCCTTCATACAGCTACTTGGACATTACGATGATTGCAATAAAGATTAAATGGTATCTTTATCAGAAGCCACACCTTTATGGATTGTATATAATTATCAATAAAATCTTTCTCTGTTAATAACTCGTTATCACCCATTTCTGGGACTTCAGAAAACTACAGATATTTCAGCTTTAACTTAGATCAGATCTAGTACAAACACATAAGCTGGAGAAATACCTTAGGAATATGGAAGCGATGAAGTCAGAAACGTGTGTGCGCGCGTGCATGTGTGCGTGTGTGTACGTGTGTGCACGCAAACGCCAGTGGTCAGGAGGAAAGGGAGGCCCTGGGCTTGCGCGTGCCAGCGCCTGTGCTGGTTGCGCCGACGCATCCTCTCTCTTCCCCACACTTGTGGGTTCCTGAGAATTGCGTTTGTGCCCTGGTGGCTTTGGGTCGTGCGGTCCCTGGGCCGGTTGCATTTCTTGACTGCTGCGGAAGCGGAGCATCTACTGACACGCTCATCACTGAGTAACTTCGGCCTGGAATGTCTTGATTTGTTTCCCCATTTTTGTTTTTCTAAGGAACGTGTAGGTGTTGCTGGTTGTGCGCCCCCACCCTGCTGTCCGCCTCTGCTTTGTGCTCTGGTAACTCCAGGTTTTCATTTAATCTGCCCTGGATTTATTTTTATGTTGGCTCCAAGAGACCACCACCAGGTCTGCACGTGGCTTTGCTGTTCTTGTTCGGAGTCTCTGCTCCTCTGTTGATACCTTCTCTTTCATTTCTTTCTTCTGTGAGTTGTTTCCACATTGTGTTCCATTTGAACTCATATGACTCTTTTCGTAGTAACTGAGTTTATTTTTCTGTATCAGCGTTTATTGCTGTGAACGTCCACTTGGTGATGGGCTCTGTCCACGTGTGGTTGCGTCGCGTGGGTCGGCCTGTGACTTCAGGAGTGTACCCGTCCTGGTTCACTCTGTCTGTGACAAAAGGTGGTGTGTGTGTGTGCCCAGCGGAATTCCTTCTCCCTTTTTTTTCTGCTTTTATTTTATTTTTTTTAAAGATTTATATATTTATTTATATAAGCACTGGGCACAGTCAGAAGTGCAGGAGGGTGAGGGAATTCACCAGAGCCAGAGGGGAGAGCAGAACAGGCAGACTGACAAAATACACTGCTGAGGGGAGCAGTGGGCGGCAGGAGAGGTCTGTGCGCCATGTGGGACCCTCACCCGGCCGCCGGGGATCGAACCGGCGCTGCAGAGGCTGCGGGCAGCTTCGCAACCCAGTGCTCAACCGCTGCGCCACCGGGGAGGCCCTCTTTCTGCTTTTAATTTACTACTATCGGAAGAGAGACTGTGTGCTTTCAACCTTTTAAAATGTGGTTTGTGAGCTGGTAGGTCCTCTGTCCTGAGGTGTGTGACCTCTGACGGGAGAGGGTTGTGTGCTCTGCTCACGCGAGCGTGCTGTTCCAGGCCTGTCTCTCAAGGCTGCTTGGTTTTTCAGGTCTGCTTTCTCCATCTTGCACTTCCATCTCCATCGTAACAGGACAGATAATCTTTTTTTAATATTAATTTTTTTTTACATCATTGTTCATTTTTAAACAATGTTTGCTCTCCCACCCCCTCAGGTGTAGTCCCCATAGAGCTTGATATCCTTAATTTCTGTCGCCCACTGCTGCATTGTCCTTTCCTGTTTGTCTCCTAGGACAGCTATTGACATTAGGCCCAATTTTTTGATACTTGTTAGACCGCTCTGGCTCTCGTGGTCATCCTTGCAGTGAAAATCATTTCCTGCCCTTTTACCCTCAGCCCAAGTGGTGTGTTCTTAGCACGCGTGTAGAGAATGTCAGTTTTTTGTAAACAGACATAAGATAAATCACCCTGCAGAGAAACCTTACAAATGTGAATAATGCCGTGCAAACTTGCTCCTCAGGTCTAGCTGTGCCGCAGAGAGCCCCTGGTGGAGAGAAACGTTACAGGTGCGAAGAGTGTGACAAGGTCTTCAAGGGGTGCACCCACCTGAAGCAGCACCTGCTGATCCATTCTGGGGAGAAGCCTTACAGGTGTACACAGTGTGGCAAGGCCTTTCGGTGGTGCTCCAACCTGAAGAAACATCACAGAATCCACACCGGCGAGAAGCCTTACCGATGTGAGGAGTGTGGCAAAGCCCTTCTGTGGATCTCAAGCCTCAAGCGACATCAGAGAATCCACACTGGGGAGAAACCTTACAAGTGCAAAGAGTGTGGCAAAACCTTCACCAGGTGCTCACACCTGAAGCAGCATCAGCAGACGCACACCGGCGAGAAGCCCTACAGATGTAAAGAGTGCGGCATGACCCTGATGTGGTACTCCAGCCTGAAGCGCCATCAGAGGACGCACTCTGCAGAGAAGCCTTTCAAGTGTAAAGAGTGTGGCAAAACCTTTAACAGGTGCTCACACCTGAAGCAACACCAGCAGACTCACACCGGCGAGAAGCCGTACCAGTGTCAGCAGTGTGGCATAACCCTGATGTGGAACTCAAGCCTGAAGCGGCATCAGAGAATTCACTCTGGAGAGAGAACTTAGAATGGACAGGCCGTGGCGCCACCTTTGTACGTCCCTCTAACCTGGAGGAGCATTACTGAATCTGTTCTGGAGAGAAACCGTAGAAATGTGATGAAGCCTGCCAGGGTTTCTCAGGCCTGAAGCATCAGAGGAACCCAATGCAGGAAAACCTTGCAGATGTAGTAAAGAGGCAGCGTCTGACCACGCCTCACTCAGCGCCAGAGGGTTGCTTGTCGGGGGAACCTGTACCAAAGCAAGGAATGTAACCAGAAAATACACCCCAGGGAAGCCTTAGGAGCGCGAAGAATGCAACGAGGCTTTTCACCTCACTCCTGAGCAGCAGGGGAAAGGTCAGAGTAGAGAGACCGCACGGAGACCTTTGTCAGAGTTTTCCGTCGAGTATAAAATTAGCGATTGCACGGCGCTCGTGCTGGAGAGAAGAAGTGGAAAGAGCCAGAGCCCTTGTCACCCTTCACAGAAGAAAATTCATACTGGAGAGGAAACTTCGAAATGTGATGGATGTGGAAAGACTGTGCTATGTACACCCTACAGCACAAGAACCTTCGTGCTAGAAGATTCTTATGGATGCAGAATTGTGGGGAAATAGTTGATGAAAACCTGTTATAACTTAACAGCAGAAAATTTACACTAAAAACACTAAGACTAACATTTCTTGAGGCTCAAATTGAGAGCATTTATGATAGAAAAAAAATATAAATTGGAAAGTGCTGTCAGCAATTGTAAGGGTTGCCATTGTAAGGGTTTCAGAGACAGAAGTCAGGGTCATGCCATCTTGAGGGAAGGGCTGGGGTTCAGGAGGAGGAGGGTGACTCACCGGGGGGTGAGAGGCGTTGAGTGGTTGACGTAACTCCCGCGCTGATAAGCTGCCTCAAGGGTAAGTAATTCTGGGCAAGCCCCACCTACGGACAGGTAGCTAAGGGAGAGGGACGGTTTGTCCCGGACTACGTGGGGTGTACATTGCCTTTAGCTCAAAACCATCCACTTGCCAAAATAAGACGTTTTGTAGAGGCTTGTTCTGAACCCATCACCGATTTCTCGTTAGAGGTAAAGTCTGGGTAGCGTCTCAAATCCCTGAGAGGTCCTCATAATGCTGTTTTTAGAAGTCATAATAAATATGTGTGGTAGAGAGAAATACTCAGAGGAAAGCGTGTGTCCTGAACTGTCACACGGCCAGTGAGTTCCTGCTCTCTAGATGGCAGCCTCGTTCTTCAGACTGCAGAAGCCGAACACTTGGAAAGATGCAGCAGTGGAGCAGGAACGCTCTGGAGGGACTCATCTGGGGCTGGGAGCACGTGCAGGCCGGTGCCAGTGAGGCTGGGTGCGTGTCCTGAGTGCGTGTGTGGTCAGGACAGAGTGTGGTCACACAAGTGGACGTTTGGCCGTCCAACACGCCTGAGGGGGTGCGCGATTGCCTTGGATTTCGAAATGTTTTATTTAGTCTCTGTGTGAACTAAGACGTGCTTCACTTAGTGGAGCTGACTGGTTCTCAGTGTGTTGTCACTGATGGGCGGTGAGTAAAGTGTGATTGTGAACATGAAATGCCTTCACCTTCCTCAGAACACATGGTAACTACATACTGTTGAGAGACAGAGTAGAAAATCGCCTCTAATAAGCCCTGTTCCTTTAGTCTTAGCAAAAATAACCCTTTTATGTAGCCTATGGAAATATTGTTCCTATAGATTATAGTTGGAATCTTTTATACTTTATGCAGCTAGCTGGACAGTGGAGTGAGTGCAGTAAAGATTCTATAGTATCTTTTTTTTTTTTTAAAGATTTATTTATTTACACAAGAACTGGGGTATAGACCAGAGGCGCGGGAGGTGAGAGGATTCATCAGAGACAGAGCGGAGAACAGAACAGGCAGACTGACGAAATACACTGCTGAGGGGAGCAGCGGGGAGACGGGAGAGGTCTGCTGCCCATGTGGGTAGCTCCGCAGGCGGCCAGGATCGAACCCCCGCTGCAGAGGCTGCCGACAGCTTCACAGTGCGGCGCTCAACTGCCTGCGCCACCAGGGAGGCCCCACTCTCTGGTATCTTTAAGGAAGCCACACCTTGATGGACTCTGTATATTTATCAATAAAGTCTCTATGTACTCATCACCCACTTCTGGGAGTACAGGAGATATTCAGGTTATTTTGGGTTCAATTTATATTGAAGAGAACACATACTACGCTGGTGTTGCTGAATTTGGCAGAGAGCAGCTGAGTAAGCTGAGACGGGAGGCTTTTTCAGGGAGAAAATGAACTGTCTGCTAGTAGCGGTGGGCACGGCATTGCATGTCTGTACAAGCCCAACAATAAGCACCAGCGAGGGGGAGTTGTGAGACAACTGGGTTCTGGGTGGTTGTGATGAGTCTGTGCTGATGCATCAGCCCCAGCAGCTCTGGGGGAGGCTGTGCCTGCGAGGAAACTGAGTCTCTGGGAGAGCTCTGCGTTTTGCTCTGTGTTTCCATGCAGGACATTTGTCTAAAATGGTACCTTTTATTTTTTATTTTATATATTTTTCACATCATTTTTCATTTTTGCACAATGTGTGCATTTTCATCTTGGTTATAGTACCCGTACAATTCCCACCCCCCCTTGTTTTGATCCTACTCCTTGCTGTCCCCCCCGCCCCCCGCCCCATGGTTTATAGTTGCTTGTTGATTTTGATTTTTACTTTATTATAATTAGTCTTTTTCCTGGTCCCTTATTTAGGTTTTCTAGATTCCTGCTATGAGTGAGACCATCCGGTATTTTTCTTTTTCTTTCTGGCTTATTTCGCTGAGCATGATCCCTTCCAGCGCCATCCATGTTGCTGCAAATGGCATGAGTTTATCCTTTTTGATTGCTGAGTAATATTCCATGGTATATATGGACCACATCTTCTTGATCCAGTCATCTATTTTTGGGCATTTGGGTTGTTTCCAAAGCTTAGCTATTGTAAACAGTGCTGCTATAAACATAGGGATGCAGGTGCTCTTTGGAATGGATGTTTCTGTGTCCTTTGGGTGAATACCCAGGAGTGGAATTGCTGGATCCTATGGAAGCTCCATCTTTAGCAGGTTGAGGAATCTCCACACAGCTCTCCATAGTGGTTGGACACTTCTCCCCACCCCCGTCTCTGCAGTTGCGGGGTGACACTGCTGAGCTCGTTACTGCAGCTGCCTCATGCCTCACACCTCAGACCACTGGTTCCTGTATCCACGTGTTTGGGGATTTTTGTTTACTTTCAGTGTTTTCAAGACTTTTTTTTAAATCGAGGTCACACTGGTTTCTGTGTGTTCTGTGCCTTGGGGGACCAGAGCCGCCGCCCCCCACCCCCCAGGGCCTTCCTGTCCTCAGCTCTGTGGAGCCTCCCCAGGGCACCCCCCCAGGGCCCCCACTTCTGCTGAGACTCCTAGAGTTTACTTTGGTTCATCCCTCAAGTCCTTGGCTCTGTCTCTCCACAGCCTGGAAAGCAGGGAGCTCGGCCGGAGTGACTCTCCTTCCCCCGCTTCCTTGGTGTCGCCTCCCCCAGTTCCATCCTGTCCCCGGGCCAGTGTCCGTCCCTTCCACAGCCCAGTGGCCTCCACCACGCGGATACACCAGAACCCCGCGTCTTCTGTTTCTTTCTGGCCCTGTTGGCCGGCTGGGTTTTAAAGTTCTGTCATTTTCCTTCCGATCAAAACTGGGCCTTGAACCTCCCCTGGAATTGTCTCGTCCTCCTCGTCTGCGTGCTGCTCACACCAGAGGCCTCGAGTCAGCGCAAGTGCACCTTTGCTGCCCTGCCCAGCTCCCACGAGGCCCGGGTGCGGTGAGCTCAGTGCTGCAGGGGACGCCCTGTAGGGGGACGGCAGTGCTTTAGTTCTTACTTTATGCTACAAGAGCTGGGGTACAAGCCAGAGATGAGGGGGGTGAGGACTCCCCAGAGACAGTGGGGAGCAGAACAGGCGGATCCACTGAGACACACTGCTGAGGGGAGCAGCGGGGAGACAGGAGAGGTCTGCTGCGCCCTGTGGGCAGTTCCCTGGCTGGGGATGGACCCAGGTGATGGTGGAGACAGCCTGAAACCGACCCCTGGGCCACCTCATTTCTTTCCCCCCTCAGAGTGCTCAGGGCCCAGCAGTGACCTCCACGTGCCTGCGGGCCTCCCGGGGCCCCTCACTGTGCAGGTTCTGACCCAGCAGGCCGCGCAGGAGTGGACCAGACGCAGATGATCCTCGAGGCCAGAAGAGAACTGAAGGCCGAAGGTTCTCCACGTCCACCCCTCCTTCGGGGGGGCCTCCTACCGCCCCCCTCTGCTGCCGGCCACCGTCAGGGAGATGCTCCTCACTGTCCCTCACTCTGGGCTTCCCTTCTCCCCCACTCGAGTCCCAGAGGTGCTGCCCTGCTGGGTTTCCCGGGGACCGGGTTCCCCTGGCTTGGACTCCTGGTCCCAGGGGGAGCTCCTGGGGGCACAGAGCCCACAGTCCCGCTGTGCCACGAAAGGGACATGCACAGGGAGGCGGAGGCGAGTGGCCCACGTGTCCCCCGAAGGTGCTGACAACCTGGGCGCTGCAAGGTCCAGGGGCCGGCTCGAGGGTCCTTGCGGCTTCGCTGGGAATGTGGGCGAGGGTGTCCGTTTTGTGGGGTCTGGACACAATTCCATTGAGACCGCTCAGCTGGGCAGAGCTGTCAACTGGAACATCGTCCCCATCACCGCCACCTTGAAAGTGACCGTGAGAGCGACGGCCGCCCGGGTGGACATGGCGGGGGCGCCTGCAGCCCGTTCGTGAGGCGCTGTCGTTGCAGAGGATGCAAAATCATTTACAGTGAAGTGCATTCAGCCCAAAATAAGCTGGCCTTTTACAAAAGGGGGTTTAAGTGTGTTGGCAGCTGCCCAGAGGGTTTTCCTCTTGCAGCCTGCGCTGCCCTTCTGCCCCGAGGCTCCCGCCGGGAGGCCTGGCGAGCTGGGGACTTCCCCGCAGAGGCCCCGTGGCCGAGGGGACTCCAGTGTCTTAGTCCCCCGCGGGGTCCCTGCTACCACCATCGGGGCGCAGCTCAGGGATGGGCTGACTCGGAACGTGGGTGTCTCATTCGAGCCCCTTCTCTCTCCCCTCTTCTGGGCAAGAGGGTGACCCAGCCCCGCGGGCATCTTCCGCTGGGTCGGATGCGCCGTGAGGGACAGTCCCGGCTCCGGTGTCATTTTGTCTTTTCCTTCCCAGGCGCCTGTACTGGAAAGCTGGGGTGTCGGGATGTGGAAAGTGTCTTGTCACTGTTTTGTTTTTTTAACTAAAGCTTTATAAAGTTGTGGGTTCAGCAGAATAAATTTATAATGTAAAAAATTTAAAAAAGGCAAAGCGTGTTTATTTGGATTTACAAAGTAGCAGGAGCCTAGGTCCGGGCCAGAAACCCAAACTCCCTCACTAAAAAAATGAGGTGACCTTGACAGACACTCCGGTGCAGCTGCTCTGCGCACGCCTGCCTGGCTGGGGAAGGACCTGTTTTCACCCTGACCAGTTTTTGTAGAACCACAACGGAATTCTTAAGAGTTTAAAAGTAATTTTAGTGGTGGGCCTCCCTGGTGGCGCAAGGGGTTGAGACGCAACCTATGAAGCTGTCTGCAGCCTCTGCAGCCTCTGCAGCACGAGTTCCATCCCCGGCCTGGGAGCTGCCCACACGGCACAGCCGACCTCTCCTGTCTCCCCGCTGCTCCCCTCAGCAGTGGATTTCAGTAGATGCACCTGTGCTGCTCCCCGCTCTGTCTCTGGTGAACCCTATCACCCCCCCCCCACACGCCTCTGGTATGTACCCCAACTCTTGTATGCATAAATAAATAAATCTTTAAAAAATAATTGTACTGGTTACTTGTCACCTTCCGAGGAGCAGGGAGGTAATTGCACCAATAATTTGTTCATTAGGGTTAGCTGACTGGTTCTGATAATAAAAGGGTGTTGTGTACATTATAGAAAATAGGAGAAGTGGAATAAGAGAGGATGTAAAGTAGTCAATGATGATCACACCTGGTTTTAATTTTTTCTGGTATTTAAAATCTAAATTTATCATATTATGTTCATTTTATATCTTGACTCCCTCACCAATATGTGTTGGCAAGATGACCCACATGACTGGAAGTAGCTAGAGCCTGAGTATTATCACTGCTGCATAATATTCCACTTGATGCCAAGTAACTTTTCCAGTCTAGTCTACTTGCAAAGTGTATTATTTCACTAATATTTTCTATCCATGCTAGAATAACACTGTCTCAAGAGTTTTCTATTCTACTGTCTTCATTGAAGCACTAACAGAAGTGTTTTTCAAGTCATTAAAACTGTTCAGAATTATTGTACACAATTGCTCGTTTCTTTGATGTTTATATTGTAACATATTTGACTGTTTCCTGGGGTTTTCATTTAGATTGTTTCCAATCATTTCTTCCTGTAAATAAAGTGCTGGGAACATTTTTAAAATAAAGATTTTACTTGCATTCAAAGCACTTCCTTAGGTCATCTCCCCCATTGAATCACTGTCTGAAGGTACATGTAGTCCAGGTTCCAAGTTCCCTGCAGAAGGGCAGCGCCATCTCTTTTTATTCTTAAACATTTATTTATTTATGCATACAAGAGTTGGGGTACAGGCCAGAGGTGCGGGGGTGAGAGGATTCACCAGAGACAGAGTGGGGAACAGAACACGTCGATTGACTGAAACACACTGCTGAGGGGAGCAGCGGGGAGACACTGCTGCGTCGTTTGGGTAGCTCCTTGTCTGTCCATGGATCCAACTTGTGCTTCAGTGTGGACAGCTTCACAGTGCTGTGCTTAATTCCTTGGGCCACTAGGGAGGCCCTGGAGCTGGATCTTTGATCAGAGAAATCTAAAACATTTTAATCTTGTCCCACTACTTCACTAAAATTCTTCTTTACTTTCATCCAAAACAAAATACGTAAATTTATTTAAGAAGTATATACTACCAGTAAGTCATATATCAAATGTCAGTTAAGTTCGGATGATCTGAACTTAACATATGACAAAGAACAAATTATAAATATTACATACATCCTCAACAGAGTCTCCAGCTCATCCCTAGGAGACCACTGCTTTAGATTAGTAGATGGTTTTCCTAATGATCTAATGCTCAACTAAAACTCACTTTGGTTAGGTTAACGGTGAGTCTGAAAATAGCTCAGTTATCATAATAGTTTTTTTCTAATTTTCATAATAGTACTAGTGATTGACAGTGGTCTATACAATATTTCCAAGATCCAGGAATATCTTATAGCTCTGTCCCCCTCAGTATCTTATGGGAACTATCCATTTAATCCAGTGGATAAATTAAGGGGTGGGGAGAGATCTGAGGGAGATAGCACAGACCTGGAAGTAGCACACACTTCTTGTCCCCATATCCAAAGGATAGCGCCACACACCAGAATGGGCCCATAGACTCCCTGCTCCATAAGTCTCAGCACTATGAAGCTGTCCGCGGCCACTGCAGCACGAGTTCAATCCCTGGCCAGGGAGCTACCCACATGGCACAGCAGACCTCTCCTGTCTCCCCGCCGCTCCCCTCAGCAGTGGATTTCAGTAGATCTACCTGTTCTGCTCCCCACTCTGTCTCTGGTGAATCCTCTCACCCCCCACACGTCTGGCCTGTACCCCAGCTCTTGTGTGCATAAATAAATGAAACAAATCTTTTTTTTTTATTTTTTTTTTCAATTAATAAATTTTATTTTTATATTCCCCATACAATTGCAATCCCCCCATTCTGACCCCAATCCCTCCCCTCCCGCCCCCCACCCCCCAAAAAGTGTCTCTGGTTCATAGTTTTTGTTGATTTTGATTTTCACTTTCTTATAGTTATTCATTTTCCTGGTCCCTTATTTAAGTTTTCTAGATCCCTGCTATGAGTGAGACCATCCGGTATTTTTCTTTTTCTTTTTGGCTTATTTCGCTGAGCATGATC